GCTTATTGTACCTGTTGTTCTCTCCTGTACAGGTGTGATACCACACACACTACATAAAAGCCTGGAAACATTACAATTGAGTAGAAATACATACATCACACTACAGAAGGCCACTATATTGAATACATGCCACATTGTTAGGAAATTCCTGAATACAGACACACACACTGACACACTTGTTTAACTTTAGTTTTGTTTTGATTGCTATGCCTTGACTCTGGTCCGGCATAGTACACAGCCACTGGTGTGAACCGAGTATAACTCACAAACCCAACATAATAATAATAATAATAACTCTCCCATGGTCACCACCAGGTCATAGTGGGAGAGCCCAGTTATTTTACTGATCCATAGGTAATGCATGCTGGAGCACAAGCTCCTGGTAAGGTACCCATGCCAGTAAGGTCTATGGAGAGAAGTGAAGCTAAGAGTGACCACACACCCACATTCTATGGAGATATTTATCATGGTAGTAACCAGATCGAAGTGTGGTACCAGCTTGGACATCGCCCAGGTTAACAAGGTCCGCATTCGTAGGTTAAGCAGCGGCTCATGTTCAAAAAATAGACCACAGTCTCATTTGATAACCAGTGGCGAAAGCAGCGCCAGCCCAAGCATGGCTACTGCATTGCCCTCAACAGAAGTGATGAACCAACCTAGCCCTTGTGTATCTGTGGCAATGCATCCTGTTAGGTTCTTAGGCTGTAAGATCTCTAATCATGGATCACCGTTTAATATATAACAAAGAAACGGTTATAACGGTCAGACTGGACACCGGTCACATCATGCTCGTCTGACTGACCCAAACAAAAGACATTCCCGAATCACGTGCCCACACGTAGGTGTAACCGGATCTGTTCCAGATTGAATCCCGGTCGTTAGGTTTTCACACATGGAAAACACCTGACCCAACACATCCACAGACCACAAAGGCTGAAAACAACACCAATGGATGAAATGGACATCAGAAATGAACAAGTTTATCATCCGTACTTACTACACGATCACAAGACTCAAAACAAACATGACGACATACACACAACAACTACACCATAGATTCACACAACATCCTCACCTCACTGTCACAAAGGGTTGTTGATCCAAAAAAAAAAAAAAAAAAAAAAAATTATACACAACAATTGGNATCCAAAAAAAAAAAAAAAAAAAACAATTATACACAACAACCTTATCCCAGAAACAACACTTGAACTTATCAAATAAAAGGTTGCTGATCAAATACATCAACAGACAAACATTTAACATTAATGAAGATCACATAACCTGTCAGGATAATCCAGCAACAAGCACTGATTACAGCACACACTGTAAAGTACTAAGTTATTTTTATGCCTTTTACAACAATTAGCAACACGACTTTGTGCTGGAAATAGCCGTTACCTAATGGGTACTTTACACAGATTCGCTTTAATGTGCCAGGCCTGGACTTTAAGTGTGCATTGAAAGAAATAATGACAGAGTTAGTCAAAACCAATCAAATATTTAATAATTCTAATAATGAGTATGTACAAAAATTAGTAACAATCAAACAACAAATTTATTCAAAGAAAATCAATAAGAATCAACCTGACAAAAAAAACTCAAACCAATCTATTTGCTAACTTAAATCTTTTCCCCTTTGGAACTCGACAAAAAATTCAATGACTTAACTTATATACAACAATTCTTATGAACTAAGGCCGTAATTATCATTTCAATATACTAGGAACCTTTTTCCTCAACTCTCAAGACTTTCTAATCTTTGATCCACAAATCAAATAACTTCGAATTGCCTTGGAACCACTTTATCGCTATTAGACACCTCTTGTCGTTTGCTGCTACGAAGCTCACCACACTTGTTGCTAACCGAATTCATCTTCACTTGAGGTTCGGACTTTATACTGTGAGGTGACATCACAATTATGATTGAGATCACTCTCCTCATTTACATACTTATCGCTAACAGTAAACTTATCCTTTCTGCCTGGCAGCCTATTTCCCGACAATTCTCGCTAACCTTTTACATTATTCTTTTTTACAATTTTTCAGGATGTTTTAAGGTTTAGCAAGTTCCTAAGTTGTGCTTGTGGGGTCTCCCCCTCTTTCTTGGTGCGGACTTACTTTTTTCTGCTCAGGAGCACAAGTGTGTGCGAGCTTTTTCTACGGCGTTTTTTATTGTCAGGGAGTTGGTTCTCTTTTTTCTATTTTTAAGTTTCTAAGGTGAGTGGTGAGGAAACCTTCATCCTAACAAAACATAAGCCCCAAACAAAAATAGAATAAAAAGCAAAATAAAAAATAATTAAAAATAATGCTCGGACTTGGTTCCTTACACCCCACACACACACACAACAATTACCACTAATGATAGTACAGACACTTCCTCATCCACCACTGATAACATAGACATAGATTTAGTTAATACGCTCTCACTTATATTTCAGGAAACACTCACTAAATATACAGGCACAGATCCAACACAAAGACCACAAATACCAAAAATCAACACGTCAAAGATAGTAGGAAAAACACTAAATTATGTAAACACTCACTTACTACCAAACTACATTCATTCAATTTCTACACTCTCAGACATTCATATATTAGTTTATGCCAGGGCAGTCACAGTAGTAACACACCATGGACTGAAAATACAATCGCAGACAGACACACACAAAACACAATTCTATCACAAGCCTTCCTGGCAGAGAAGAAAAGAAATACAAATAAATGACATTAGACAGCAATTAGGCAGGCTGACACAATACACTAAAAACAACATAATACTCAAATTAAAGAAACAACTCAAAAACATTTTCAAGAAATTCAAAACACACAAAATACGAACATCACATTACAGAATACGTTGATACAATAAAACAAACTCACAGCCAAAGCACGTAGATCCAAATAATACAAAACATGTACACTATGAAAACAACAAAATAAATTATTTCCAAACAATGAAAAACTCTTTTACAGACAAATTAGTACTAGTGATGTGCCAGGTATCCGTATCCGTATCCACAGATATCCGAGGGAAAAAAAGATCCATATCCCATTACTT